TTTCCAGCTAACGGATATCGAAAGGTGATCTATTTAAGACTGCAGTACATAGGTAAAATAAAACATAAATAATGGGAGACTCAAATAACAATAATGATGTCCATAATAATGTTGCCAGTTGATGATGTAAACATTGAATGACTACAAAAGGAGGCTATGTAGAATTTTTTTCTTAAAATCTTCTTAGAGTGTATATAGATCACAAAGGGGTGAAAACATGGTATGGCTACCGCATTATTTACTGGATGACGTTTCGAGCATAACTCATTACTGGTCATAATCATATCAATGTGTAATCAAACTACTCTCAAAATTTGATTTTTATAGTCCTGTCATCTCATATGCTTTATCTTTATTGGTAGTAAAATTTTCTATATCTCCGACATAAGTGTTACGTCATTCCTGTTCCACATGTGTTGCGCATTGATTCGATGGACAAAGATGCAGTAATCAGTCTGTCTCTCTCTCTCTCCCGCTCTGCATCTAATTATATTCGACTTAAGTACAGTGATTTTATCCCACCCTATTGTGTGACTGTGTGTTAATGCATCCATTACAATAGCCAACATTCCTTCGAGATCACTGATCTTATTCGGGTCTGTCATTCTATAATTAGCTCAATTATTATGCTCCACTACTCTAATTCACCCCGACAGGCTGACTAGTCTGACCTATATACTTCACCTGACTCACAATCATCATATGCAATTTGATAGATTAGATTATTCCACTGAATTGCTTCTATCGGATCCTTCAACTTGCCAACAAAGCTTGTCTCTGAGTGAATTTGTAGGCTTAAATGCCACCATAACTAATTCCAGCTTCGTTCAGAATCCTACATGAAGTTTCTGATCTACCTTCCTACCGTATAGGGTAACACAATGAACACTGTGATCTCCTTTCTACTCGTGTTGTTGTTATTATTCTTTAATCCATGACTGTTGTCTTTTCGTTCCATGTGGATTCTTACGAATTTCTTAATGAACTACGTAGAATCATTCTTGACTACTAGCGCTCCTTCTATGTGCTTCAATTCCTTGTTTAGGTCATTCCACTGACTAATCAGTTTTCTATCTCCATCATTTAGACATTTGACTAAACCTGCCTTAACTGACTGAAATTGAATGAGATGACTTGAAGTCTAGATACCTGTTGGAATGTGTCGGTTTTCTGTAGACGGCAGTATCCTTCGTTTCATCCTATAGTCCAACACAGTTAACTCTCCCCAATCATTTTCTACCTCCTCGTAATCGGTACGCTTGAGTTATCCCTTGCGTTTCTCTTGGCAGAATCCTTACCCACTGATCGTAATTCCCTATGATTTATACCACACTCTCAACATATACTACTTATTCCCATTATTATCATCACCAACCCCCACTACACTATGTCTTGAAACTTGAAGATTGTGCAGGTCACGCATAACTGTAAGCCCAATATAATCTCATCAACCAATATCTCAGTTCTGTGATTAACTTCTGAGTCAATATTCAGTTGATTTCTCACTGTCTCCATTACCATATTCATTGTTATTTTAGTATACAGACATGTTACTTCGAAACTAACCATTTCTCATCCTCTTCTATGTGTAGGTCACCAAGACTAAGTTTTAACTCATAAGTGTTTACTAGTCTGGAATTTGAAATGTTCGTAATAGGGCACAATATTGAAGCTAAGTACTTTGCTAGTTCATATGTTGGGCGTATTTCTGAAGTCAACTATGGGTCTGATGGGATCACCTGGTTTATGAATCTTGATAATACCATCAGTTCTGCTAGGATTATTAGTTTGAGGCATTACATTAAACCGTTCAGACTCAGCTAGAGATGACTTTAATCGGCTGTAGATTTCTTGATCTTATTAATGATCACGTCTTGATTTCTTCATATGGTCCTGTTTTGTTGAAGTAATCCAATTTTTCTATAACTACTGTTTAACTGCCTTTATCAAGTAGATCAACAAATAGTAACAACTAATACCTGTTGAACAAGGCGCAGTTATCACACCTCAGTGGCCTAGTCCATAACGCTTTAGTGTTTGAAGCAATAGGTAAGAGATTCGAGTTTCAGTGGGAACACCATCACTCAGACAGGTAAAGATACGTCCAGATGAAGAGTTTCAACTAGGATGAAATCCGTGTCTTACACTCCTCTGCTAACCTAACCATTATCCATCATTACTATAACCAAAACAGGGAATATCGAGACATCCACACAGGAATCCATATGCAAACAGAGACAGTTCAATTCGATTCAATCAACGATGGGATGTAGTAGTATAGTATGATTAATCGCACAAGGTGGAATTTTACTCGTGTAATACCCACACAGTATATTACAACAAATAACTAAAATAAACAAACACTTAGCACATTATTCCTCAACGTTTCAATCTCGCTAGGAAGATCCATTCCAACACTATGAATCTGACAGTAAGTTCTCAGGTTAATATTCAAGTGTTACCAGAGAAGGTGATGACCTTTACCATCATACAATCACATCGTGATATCGAGCAAACATCAATGTAATAATGTAACGCATTCAAAACCTTACTCAGTCACCTCCCAGTTCCGATTTCTCCAATGTCTCACCTCAACTCCTTCTTGCCAACACCTACCACTCTCCAAACATCTTCTGTTAGTAAATGTAAGTACATACTGTGGTCTACTTCTTAAGTCATCAGCTCACCTCTCTACACTCATCTTATCTGTTCCAGATTCCCATGGTCACCACAAAACTCATACTGCTCTCCACATCCACCAGAACAACCTACCTATCTACACGCTAGACGAAAACGCATCAACAACTGGTCGTCACAATACACATGACTGAATAAGAGAATCAGTCAGACACACCTCTTCAATACTCTGATTAACGTGGAACAAACTAAATTTCTCCACCCTATTCCTCTCCCACCATACTCACACAACTGAAAATGCCTCCCTCACAAACTGGCTTATTCCCTCATCTGCATCAAATTCATCGATAGCTGCAACCTTGATGTGCTAGTCATACTTGCATATCACAATGACCAAACGAGTTATACTCGTGGAACACTTCTTCCCTCCAGCTCCTAACATACCACAATCGTCTGTTGCATAGTGGTTAGAAGAAAGGCAGTTTCCGTTGTCGTGTAAATTACTACACACAAATGGAGGTGTGATGACGAATTCGTACTGCTGTCACCTGGATGGCGTGTGACAGCAGCGAGGTGTTTCCCTCAGATGACCGGCAGTGTCATGTTGATGTTGCCTTCTCACTGGAAGTGGCGGAGTGGTTATGAAGTGTCCAGCCCCAAAATAACACATTGCAACATGCTCCACGGACACTTGTGGGCATGTTAGAGCCTATGGTGAGATTTCCATAGAGCTATGCACATCGAGTGGTGTCCGTCAAGGATGCCACTCTCTCCATTCTTATTCAACTTTATCACAGATATTCTTATGGAGGTCTGATTACACAGTGGTTGACCTAGTAGTGGGAAAATTTTCGTTAGACCTAGAATACGCAGATGACATAGTCCTGTTAGGTAAAGACACTGACAAGATCCAGAGTCTTCTCGACACACTGAGCGACAATTTGAGAATGTGTGACATGCGTTTCTCACCACACAAATGCAAATTCTTACTCCAACATTCGTCTTCAACAGTGCCTCACCTAACAATACAGACTGAAGTGGTTGAATATGTCGACTACCTCACTTACCTGGGAAGTGAAGTGGCATCAGGCATGGTGTGTTGGTCAGTCATCGACCAAATCTATACACCAATACAAAAGTCTCGGTCGGCTACTGACAAATTACGCCAACTGTGTCGCCACCATGATATCCAATTGTGTATTAGGGTGGCGTGTACTCCACATCAGCCCACATACGTTCTACTCTATGGCTGGCTGTGTAGCATGACCGGCATTGAAGGTGGAAGACATGAGAAGTCTGGCTTCAGGTGTTTCACCACACTCACCCTCTTACTCTTCTAGGCCAATTCCGTGGTGTCACCACATGAGTGACGCAGACGTCATGTGCAGAGTTTTAGAGAGTGAGAATAAGTAAGTCATTTGATGCGGATGTGGTTGTGGTTGTGGTTGTGATTGTGATTGTGAAGCTTCATCGACTGGGATGACTGGTTGGGACATGTGTTGTGTATGCCTAGTCACCATCTGCCTCATCACACAATCTTGGCCGAAGTAGTAGGTTCAGACTGGAAAACGGTTCCAGGTGGCCAGACTAAAACATGATTTCAATGTATGTGTGTGTGTATGTGTATGTGTGTGTGTATGTGTTTGACGACTGTTGGTTTGATTTCAGGGGTGGTGATGCAGACTGGGTGGGTGTGTGGTTGGTGTTTGTAGGACAAGAGAAAGTAGTGGTTGGAGACTGACTGTAGGAGATCACATGGCTGAGAATCAATGTCAGTGGCACACATGTATCCACACACACACACACACACACACACATTATCCTCATCTTTACCGAATCAGCTTTATCGAATCTCACCATGTTCGTATTCTACCCTTCTCTATTTTAGTACTTTATATTATGTTATGTGATGTCATTTCACCCCACCTGTAGGTCTATCGAATAAGTTTGATGTTTGATAGGGAATCTGTCGGTAACAATCTTTCATGAATAATAGAACTGTGTAAATGAGTTATCAAGATGATAATTATCTTCATGGTCACCTCTATTTTGTTTTTCAATTAACATATTTGATTACTACATCAGTATGAAATTGTAAATAACTATGTACTTATACTGATTATAACTTGTAAATAAAACAAGTCTGTTCATATCTTGAGTTTCCTACTTAAACAAATCTTGAAAGTTACACTTTTATCTTATATTGGATTATGATTGAAGCTGAGATTAAAATGTAGACCATGACCGGATTCGAATCAGTGACCACCAAGTTACCGGTACAATGATCCACTACTTCACCTACGAGTTGTAAGAAAAGAGGCAAGAATGAATAGAATTAGTATGTACAAGTATTTTATACTCACATGATCATTTCACTTATTGTTATTGATTCCGTACGGAATGTTAAAATGATAATGAGGTATATTGGATAGATTAGGATTAACCAAAATGATATAGAATAGGAAGCCAATGATGGTGGATTCACAAGTTCCTAAATAGATTAAAAAAACGCAGTTAACTTTATCATCATTGATACATATTTAAAGAGAAATACATAAGGTGTAAAGAAGAATCTTAGTATATTATAAAAGGATTGACTGAAGGCCGGATGTTCTTCTGAATTACTGCCTCTTTTTTCCCACTGAACCTTCTCGATCGAGTTCAAACTCATGTTTCACATATATTTGAGGATATCTATAGAAATTCAAGTGAATAATCAGAAGTACTTTATTCAGAAGAGATTTTTATAGCCTTTATCTCTCTCTGCCTTATCCAGGGAAAACTTAATGAACGGTTTTACTTATGAATGTTTAAAGTGATCTTCTTCCATTTTTATTCTCATTTTGTCACCGGTTCCACCGCATTTCCTATTTTTTATATTCCACCCTCATTTATTTACTCCTTTCATCCCCTAGTGTTTCTCAATTTTATTATCCTTTCCCAAACTTTGACCTACTTTGTCACTCTGTCTTTATGAATGTCTGTTTACATTGTTGTGGCATTCTAGACATTTGTATTATCCTTTATACTATCACTTGGGTGTGTAATAGTGGGACGTTTCATTGTAGGACGAAACAGGTGTTCATTGATTTCAAGTTTTCAATAGCCCTCCAACCGGAGGGCTATTGCAGTATGCTACTGCATACTAATTTAATTGTTTTATTCTAAAGAAAGCAATCCGCATCCACTTTATCGCTGACTCAAAAAGTACTTTCATTGGTTCATATTTTACCGACATTAGGTGGCAGTTGAAGGTAAAGTGAGAATATGGTCAGTGACAGAATTCGAACCAGCGAACTCCGGGTTACCGGCCCTGTGTACAAAAACAAAGATATTCACAAAGCGAACGACATACATTAGATTTCACCAGATGGACACACTACACTAAAAATCACATCCACTGAACCTCAATCTATAGAAAGTCGAGACACAACCTACTGGACACAAGATCACATCAAGAAGAGGAGCAGATGTGTAGGTAGGTAGGTTATCATCACTCACTATCTATTGCAAGAAACCTATCTTCAAAATCAAGATGAAAGCCTCCAAAGAAGCTGCTCATGACAGACCACAGTTCAAATTCAACACCCGAAACACAAAGTGAACTGAAGGACGAAACTCCAAAGGATATCTTCACGTCATTCAGCCATCAGAGGAAAAGTGGGAGACATTAGGTGGCATCCCTTAAGAAACCTGCATGGAAGAACACTGGAACTCCATGAAGGAGATGTGGAAAGAAATCTGCATAACCATGTTGTGAAGGAAGAAGACAAGGACAAGACAAGGAATGGATCTCGACGGACACATGGGAGCTGATAGAGAAGGAAGAGGAAGATGGTGAAGCAGAAGATGAACCAGTGTAGTGTAGTGTAGTGCAGTGAAGTTCAGGGATGAACAAGGAAAAGAGGGACTGAGTACAACCTATAAAACACTACACTGAAGAAAGAGGTGAAGAAGAGTGGACGGAAAGATGAAACACACTTCTACAACACACTTACTACTGAAGTAGAACAGGCTGCAGGAAAGAGGGGCAGAGATCTGACAACAATATGTGTCAAATAACCAAGTTACTATCTGGGAGGAAAGAGATCAACACAGCACAGATGAAACCAATGAAAGATAGTGTAGGAAACTTAGTTACCACCAAAGAGTAGAAACAAAGGAAACGATGTTCTGACCACTTCATAGAACTCTTGAATCGACCACCACCCGAAGAGAACACAGTGAAGTGGCGATGTGCTACTGAAGCCCTGTGTTCGACTACTAGCCCAACGGACAAATACTAATGATAACGATATAACAAATTGTTCTCCTACATCTCTTCTTATCGGTTATCTTATCATATCAATTTACAGACTGTTCTCATATGGATTTATCCACATGAGCCTTTCTGGTAATCTCTGCGTTTAATTATGCAAAGATATTTATTGTAAAAATGAGGTTGATTCTAAAATTGCCTACATTTTTCTGCATACTTTTGTTTTGAACATAATAAGTGACGCCTATATCATTTAACTAAAGGGCCATAAATACATAATATATACATACATAATTTTGTATGCAAGCTGTCATAGACGTACATGTAGGTTTGTTAAAGCGTTAGGTGTGCACAAATTCAACCCCTCTTGTGTGTTCAAAACAGTCTGTCCTTACGCTAAACCAGGTAATACATATCTTATCCCATTATCAAGGTTGTCTCAAATCTCGTCATTTCTCCTTGGTTATCTTTCTTATTTTTAACTTCCTTTAATAATGATGGATAGTGGCTAGCAGTGGAATCGAGGAACGAACGTTTCTTCCTGTTTGAGACACGTCAGTTAAATGTACCTACCTCCCAGTGACTGTTGTTCCTACCGTGATTCGGTTTTGGGACCGATCGCTTGAAATGCTAGATCATTATCCAATAGACCACCAAGCCACGAAAATCACTTCTTGTGCGACGAGTATAGTTTTTTTAGTCATTATCCATCATTAATATGCACAGTTAAAACACAGTGATCTGCTGAGTACAATTCTATATCTTAACATGGTTGTAAGCATTATCTATGTGTTATGTCAACCGAAAAGCGGAAAATGTGAATTTTAGATAAAGTGTCACTGGTCGTTTTATCATTGAACTATCTGAGATATACGTAGTTTGTCAGAATTGTATTGATACCGCTTGATGATGATGATGATGATGATGATGGAAGGTGAAATGAAAAAACTTGACACCAGCAGGATTTGAAGCAGTCACTTCTTGGTCACTGCTCAACGGAACTGGCTGCTAACCAAATCTTTATTTCACTCCAATCCTCAGTCATTTTGCCCGACTGCCATATGAATTCATCATGCCTTACTATCCCTTTCATTATCTAATCGGATTATTTATGATCATATTTATTTTGCTCCAAATTCACTCAATTTACTCATGGTTGCATGAAAAGTTGTCACGACTTTGATATCAAATAACTAAGACGTTGTAGCTCAGTTGGTAGAGAATCGGGGAGGAAACCCGGTGTTCACTGGTTCGAATCCGACCGTGATCCAGATTTTCATCTCACCTTCATTCGTCACCAAGTATAAATACGCACCGTTTTATTTTATTCATTTTCAAAGTCATTCTAATCATGACTTAATTTGTAAAACTATTGAATATCACCATCGATTCAACGGCTTGCGATTCACTCCTCATCCATTTATCTAACACTTATACCTCATCAATCATGACATGTTGAGTGAAATTCATTACTGTGCACTATCTCATCTTTTGTGCTGTTTCATCTCTATAAATTATGGTGCATTGTGGTCAGGTAATTTCGTTGCATATGCAGATGAGTCAGATCACCTGGTTTATACGAACGGTAAGCACCAAACTGTGTGTTGTGTTGTGAGTGGTCGGTATGTACGAATTACATGACTCGCAGTGTGGGTGAATTGATTATAGGAGACTGAGCAAGTTGGTATGTACGATACCAGTCAAGTGCAATGTAAGCGTTAAGACTGAGTCAGTAAAATCACATGAATCAGATGATCAGAATCATACAAAGTTATAACAAACAATAGACGTTGAACAATTCGTCCGAAAATTCAATCGTAGAGGCTTTCACCAAATTTTCAACAACTTCATAAGGCCTCACCTGGAGTTCGGGACCATCATCTTCCGCATTCGTCTACAAAAGGACAAACAAAGCTTAGAACGCATCTAGTGGCGCTCGACAAAATCTGTTCAAGGACTTTGGTCTAAAACATACAAAGAACAACTGGTTGGGCTGAATGTATATCCTCTGGAATACAGAAGGCTAAAAGGAGACTTGATAATGATTCACAACATTCTGAGCACTCCTTGTCACCCACTCCGTCACTTATTAAATCTTAGCTGTAGCACCAATCTTAGAGGATACACACAGAAACTAAGCAGGCTAGATACTAGGCACAACTTCTATTCCCTAAGAGTTGTTAAGCCGTGGAAAGCTCTTCCTGCACATGGGAGTTAGGCTATTTCTTCTGAATCCTTTAAAGGCCGACTGCATACTTACTTGACTTGTGGCCTGGATGTGCCCAGAACTAACTGAATTTTCACATCTTAACCGCCAGTTTTTCCTCTTTCTTTACTTGTACACAGGTTAACAACCACAAGAAATAGTGACCCACGGATTTTAGATGCCTAAGCCGGTTAAGCGAAAGCTTCTTCTATTCTGTCAACAACCATTTGAACCATTTGAATTCCATACAATAAAACAACGAAGAATTATATGTATATCAATAAATGGTAATAACTAATACCCATTGTACAATAAGTGGCTATCGTGCCTCATGGTATACTGGATAACACCTTGGCGTTTGAAGCGGTGGATACAAGGTTCGAGTTTCAGTGGGGTGAACAATATTACTACGCACTAGGATGTTGATATATCCAGCTGACGAGTCTTGAGTAAGACGAGAAATGCATCAAGCTAGATTCCTCTGAAATATAACAATCTGTTTTGTAATTAACTTTCAAGTAAATCATTCTATTAAAGATAAACAAAAGGTGAATTGGGTTAAAAGTTATCAATCAATCATTTGAGAATTTACCTGATAATTTGAATTATTCCAATCAGTGAAAACATAAATATTCGGTACAGTTTGTATAAAAGTTGAAATAGATACAGTAATGAATAAGGTAGTTATAAAATACCATATAATATTCCAGATAGGCAGTTTTAATTGCTTTGTATGCTGTTTCCTTATAGCAAAACAATTCCAATTACATCGTTTACATAAACTTTTTACTGCTAAATGAACTTTATTAAGAGAAATATATTTTTTTAACTGATGTCTCTTTTCAATATTATCATCATTTACTTGATTTGTTAATGATAAGACAGGAACATCAAGTTTAATTGAAGATATACTAGGTTTACTAGTTGAATTCTTTGAAGTGAATTGTTGTATCATGTCTTTAATTGGTTCATTTGGAAGATATAATGGTTGTATAGGGTTGTATTGTTCATTATTTACTATACTGACAGTAAATATGGTTTGATTTTCACCTGTATTACCTTGAGAGAATACAGGCTGGAGGATTTCATTTGACTGACTGTCAGCGTGATGATGATGTAATCTCTTTGTTTTCAATCGAATCGGAGGTAGTTTAAAACAGTAGCAACCATGCTATACATAAGAGTAGAATATTAAAACTACAATTTCAGCAAATTATCATAAGATATTACACGAAATAATAACAAGCAAGAGAAATGTTACATAATTTATGTTCACTATTATAAAATATAAACAAACGTGATGCATTCTAGTTGTTACAGTCACACTAGACAAGATTCTCATATACCGTTAAGTGTTTGTAGGTGGGCAATTGATGCTTAACACGGGGTGACTAATTTCAAAATGGTCTTCATTACCTACCGTCATCAATTTAGCGATATCGATAGACTAGGTGTTATGATGCAGAGTTGTGAGAATGAACGAAAATACTTAACCATCGATAGTTGAGGGTTGAGATGAGTCAACCTGAGTGATTCGCTAGAAGAAATTAAAAGACTGGAGACCAGATAAGTTTATAGTAACTCGCAATGAAAACGATTATGAGTAAAACGGACCCTATTTATAGAGTTAACAGTAACCTTGAAAGACAAGGAATAATTGTTACATTCAGAGAGGCAGAAGTCTATCAGAATGCTAGCGGATCATTCGAAATATGAACTATGCACAGGAAAAGAGTGCGAATAAACCAGTTCAAACATAGACAAACTATAAGTATGGAATATAACGGATATAGACATCACTGAAAAGAAATTCAATGCGATCACCGATATCTGAACTAATCGCAGAACCCGTAATGTAGAGACTAGAAGTAAACATTTTACTTGTAATACAACTGAAGATTCGTATCCGCTAAGTGCAGCACCTATCTACAGGCTAGACGAAAACGTATCAACAACTAGTCGTCACAATACACGTGAATGAATAAGCAAATCAGTCAGACAAGCATTGCTCCTGGCAGAATCCTTACCCATTGCTCGTAATTCCCTATGATTTATACCACACTCTCAACATATACTACTAACCATTTCTCATCCTCTTCTATGTGTAGGTCACCAAGACTAAGTTTTAACTCATAAGTGTTTACTAGTCTGGAATTTGAAATTTTCTTAATAAGACATTATCTTAATGCTAAGTACTTTGCTAGTTCATATGTTGTGTGTAATTCTGAAGTCAACTATGGGTCTGATGGGATCACCTGGTTTATGAATCTTGATAATACCATCAGTTCTGCTAGGATTATTAGTTTGAGGCATTACATTAAACCGTTCAGACTCAGCTAGAGATGACTTTAATCGGCTGTAGATTTCTTGATCTTATTAATGATCACGTCTTGATTTCTTCATATGGTCCTGTTTTGTTGAAGTAATCCAATTTTTCCATAACTACTGTTGAATTGCCTTTATCAGACTTAACAATTACTATATTATTGTGCTTCCGTAGACTATTCAGGACTGCATTTTCAAGTTTTGTTAAGTTCTTCTGTCTTTTCAGTGTTAACTCACAATGTACTCTAACCTAATCAGCTGTTGTTGTATCCACCGAGCTTAACGTTACTTCTGTGATAGGTATGACATGTTCTGGTTTCAGCTGACCTATTGTCCTTCACGTCAAAGTTTAGTCCTTTTTCGAGTACTTTCATCTCAACTGAGTTTAGGCTTCTTGATTCCATGAACAAAGATGCAGTAATCAATCTGTCTCTCTCTCTCCCTCTCTGCACCTAATTATATTCGACTTCAGTACAGTGATTTTATCCCACCCGATTGTGTGACTGTGTGTCAATGCATCCATTACAATAGCCAACATTCCTTCGAGATCACTGATCTTATTCGGGTCTGTCATTCTATAATTAGCTCAATTATTATGCTCCACTACTCTAATTCACCCCGACAGGCTGACTAGTCTGACCTATATACTTCACCTGACTCACAATCATCATATGCAATTTGATAGATTAGATTATTCCACTGAATTGCTTCTATCGGATCCTTCAACTTGCCAACAAAGCTTGTCTCTGAGTGAATTTCTAGGTTTAAATGCCACCATAACTAATTCCAGCTTCGTTCAGAATCCTACATGGAGTATCTGATCTACCTTCCTACCATATAGGGTAACACAATGAACACTGTGATCTCCATTCTACTCGTGTTGTCGTTATTATTCGTTAATCCATGACTGTTGTCTTTTCGTTCCATGTGGATTCCTACGAATTTCTTAATGAACTAAGGAGGATCATTCTTGACTACTAGCGCTTCTTTTATGTGCTTCAATTCCTTGTTTAGGTCATTCCACTGACTAATCAGTTTTCTACCTCTATCATTTAGACATTTGATTAAACCTGCCTTAACTGACTGAAATTGAATGAGATGACTTGAAGTCTAGATACCTGTTGGAATGTGTCGGTTTTCTGTAGACGGCAGTATCCTTCGTTGTATCCTATAATCCAACACACGTGACTCCCCTCAATCATTTTCTACCTCCTCGTAATCGGCACGCTTGAGTTATCCCTTGCGTTGCTCTTGGCAGAATCCTTACCCACTGATCGTAATTCCCTATGATTTATACCACACTCTCAACATATACTACTTATTCCCATTATTATCATCACCAACCCCCACTACACTATGTCTTGAAACTTGAAGATTGTGCAGGTCACGCATAACTGTAAGCCCAATATAATCTCATCAACCAATATCTCAGTTCTGTGATTAACTTCTGAGTCAATATTCAGTTGATTTCTCACTGTCTCCATTACCATATTCATTGTTATTTTAGTATACAGACATGTTACTTCGAAACTAACCATTTCTCATCCTCTTCTATGTGTAGGTCACCAAGACTAAGTTTTAACTCATAAGTGTTTACTAGTCTGGAATTTGAAATGTTCGTAATAGGGCACAATATTGAAGCTAAGTACTTTGCTAGTTCATATGTTGGGCGTATTTCTGAAGTCAACTATGGGTCTAATGGGATAACCTGGTTTATGAACATTAATAGTGATATAAATTCTCCTAGGATTATTATACTCGAAACCTCATCAAGTAAATAACACTCTACCACTTTTATTCAACAAATGAACAAATCGAATATGGAACTAAATTATACCATAGTGCCCAACTTTTACACCTATATTAATGTTATAGCTAATAAACAATAAAAGTATTAGATAATATGAACGAAACAAGTTAACAAAGATAAAATTCTCCGTTGTTATTCTAGATCAAATTGGTCAACCTCTGTTGACATATGGGCACCAATGTGGTTACCTCAATACTGCTTGAATATTTATGATAACATCTTGGTTATCGCTTACAAGGAATTCAGGAAGCGCTTTTCGTTCTATTTGCCACTCAATATGCATTCATATAAGTGTCTATATGTCAACAGAGGCTGATCATTTCAGTGCAGTATAACAACAGAAAATTACATGTAGATCGACAAATAGTAACAACTAATACCTGTTGAACAAGGCGCAGTTATCACACCTCAGTGGCCTAGTCCATAACGCTTTAGTGTTTGAAGCAATAGGTAAGAGATTCGAGTTTCAGTGGGAACACCATCACTCAGACAGGTAAAGATACGTCCAGATGAAGAGTTTCAACTAGGATGAAATCCGTGTCTTACACTCCTCTGCTAACCTAACCATTATCCATCATTACTATAACCAAAACAGGGAATATCGAGACATCCACACAGGAATCCATATGCAAACAGAGACAGTTCAATTCGATTCAATCAACGATGGGATGTAGTAGTATAGTATGATTAATCGCACAAGGTGGAATTTTACTCGTGTAATACCCACACAGTATATTACAACAAATAACTAAAATAAACAAACACTTAGCACATTATTCCTCAACGTTTCAATCTCGCTAGGAAGATCCATTCCAACACTATGAATCTGACAGTAAGTTCTCAGGTTAATATTCAAGTGTTACCAGAGAAGGTGATGACCTTTACCATCATACAATCACATCGTGATATCGAGCAAACATCAATGTAATAATGTAACGCATTCAAAACCTTACTCAGTCACCTCCCAGTTCCGATTTCTCCAATGTCTCACCTCAACTCCTTCTTGCCAACACCTACCACTCTCCAAACATCTTCTGTTAGTAAATGTAAGTACATACTGTGGTCTACTTCTTAAGTCATCAGCTCACCTCTCTACACTCGTCTTATCTGTTCCAGATTCCCATGGTCACCACAAAACTCATACTGCTCTCCACACTCACCAGAACAACCTACCTATCTACACGCTAGACGAAAACACATCAACAACTGGTCGTCACAATACACATGACTGAATAAGAGAATCAGTCAGACACACCTCTTCAATACTCCGATTAACGTGGAACAAACTAAATTTCTCCACCCTATTCCTCTCCCACCATACTCACACAACTGAAAATGCCTCCCTCACAAACTGGCTTATTCCCTCATCTGCATCAAATTCATCGATAGCTGCAACCTTGATGTGCTAGTCATACTTGCATATCACAATGACCAAACGAGTTATACTCGTGGAACACTTCTTCCCTCCAGCTCCTAACATACCACAATCGTCTGTTGCATAGTGGTTAGAAGAAAGGCAGTTTCCGTTGTCGTGTAAATTACTACACACAAATGGAGGTGTGATGACGAATTCGTACTGCTGTCACCTGGATGGCGTGTGACAGCAGCGAGGTGTTTCCCTCAGATGACCAGCAGTGTCATGTTGATGTTGCCTTCTCACTGGAAGTGGCGGAGTGGTTATGAAGTGTCCAGCCCCAAAATAACACATTGCAACATGCTCCACGGACACTTGTGGGCATGTTAGAGCCTATGATGAGATATCCATAGAGCTATGCACATCGAGTGGTGTCCGTCAAGGATGCCCACTCTCTCCATTCTTATTCAACTTTATCACAGATATTCTTATGGAGGTCTGATTACACAGTGGTTGACCTAGAAGTGGGAAAATTTTCGTTAGACCTAGAATACGCAGATGACATAGTCCTGTTAGGTAAAGACACTGACAAGATCCAGAGTCTTCTCGACACACTGAGCGACAATTTGAGAATGTGTGACATGCGTTTCTCACCATACAAATGCAAATTCTTACTCCAACATTCGTCTTCAACAGTGCCTCGCCTAACAATACAGACTGAAGTGGTTGAATATGTCGACTACCTCACTTACCTGGGAAGTGAAGTGGCATCAGGCATGGTGTGTTGGTCAGTCACCGACCAAATCTATACACCAATAGAAAAGTCTCTGTCGACTACTGACAAATTACGCCAACTGTGTCGCCACCATGATATCCAGTTGTCTATTAGGGTGGCGTGTACTCCACGTCAGTCCAAATCCGTTCTGCTCTATGGCTGGCTGTGTAGTATGGCCGGCATTGAAGGTGGAAGACATGAGAAGTCTGGCTTCAGGTGTTTCACCACACTCACCCTCTTACTCTTCTAGGCCAATTCCGTGGTGTCACCACATGAGTGACGCAGACGTCATGTGCAGAGTTTTAGAGAGTGAGAATAAGTAAGTCATTTGATGCGGATGTGGTTGTGGTTGTGGTTGTGATTGTGATTGTGAAGCTTCATCGACTGAGATGACTGGTTGGGACATGTGTTGTGTATGCCTAGTCACCATCTGCCTCATCACACAATCTTGGCTGAAGTAGTAGGTTCAGACTGGAAAACGGTTCCAGGTGGCCAGACTAAAACATGATTTCAATGTATGTGTGTGTGTATGTGTTTGACGACTGTTGGTTTGATTTCAGGGGTGGTGATGCAGACTGGGTGGGTGTGTGGTTGGTGTTTGTGGGACAAGGGAAAGCAGTGGTTGGAGACTGACTGTAGGTGATCACATGGCTGAGAATCAATGTCAGTGGCACACATGTATCCACAAACACATACACACACATTATCCTCATCTTTACCGAATCAACTTTATCGAATCTCACCATGTTCGTGTTCTACCCTTCTCTATTTTAGTACTTTATATTATGTTATGTGCTGTCATTTCACCCCACCTGTACGTCTATCGAATAAGTTTGATGTTTGATAGGAAATCTGTCGGTAACAATTTATCATTTTGACTTATGTATTCACGATTAATAGAACTGTGTAAATGAGCTATCAAGATGATAATTATCATCATGGTCACCTCTATTTTGTTATTCAAAGATATTTATTTGTAAATTATAATCACCATTTTATTTTACTGGGAAGATTTTACTGCAATTAGCTGACTGATTAAATTGAAATACCTGAAAAGGTACGAAAAATTACATGAGACTTACATTTGGCGCCGCCAAATCATCTAGTTGTATATTTTCTGTGTAAACATCATTTGCCAATGATTGAAGAGATAATGAAGAATTTGTACGATTCAGATGACTACCTAGAGGAAAGTGAATGTAGATATAACTGAAATTGAATAAATTATATCAACTGGGTATTGATAACAATAATATAACAGATTTAACATCACTACTGTTAGTTGAAATCATCATATGAATAATGTTGAGATCATGCGGATGGTATTAGCCACGATAGACAAGTAGATTGATGAGGTTGTGAACCGTAGTCGACTGAGATGACTAGAATATGTACTGTGAATGTCGAGCCACTGTCTATCTTGACGTACAACCCTAAGGGAAGTTGGATTAGGTTGGAAGATGTTTCAGAGTAGCCTGACTATTGGCATGATCAGCTTAAGGAAGTGCAAACTATATGGCTGGGGTTCCCGAGGTGACAGCAATCAGTAGTTTAGGACTCTTCGCGGCATGGCTGAAAATTGGTCATATTGTTCTAGATGTATTCTCTTCTTGACATTTTCCAAGACTTGAATATTTACACTTTCCTTTACTTTAAAATTGTTTATTCTCTCGCACAACTTTGTCCACTTTGTTATCAGTCTATTTCTATCCACCTGTTCTCTACATACTGACGTCAAGAGTAGCAACTTGAACCAAAGAAGTTGCATGCGAGGTTATAAATTGATTTTGTCTGTCTACTTAGATGTAGTAGTGTAAGATGAGATTGACTAGATCCTCATAAGAGGCCCTAAATCCCGAAAACGTTTTGCAAAACACACGTGAATCTGCGTGTAAATATCAAATTGGTTGAAGAGGGAAAATAAATATTCTATAAAAGTGTAGAAACACTTACGGATATTGTATATGTACTCTTCTTAGAAAGGCTAAAAAATTCTCTGCACTAGAAATTACGACCTGAACAGGCTGGCTGACTGGCTTCACGAAAAACAATTCATGTGCGGATGAAACTGCAACACTACGCATCACCATACAACAGAGCATAGAATGACAGTCAACTCCTTGCCTCAACTTGATCAGCTTCCGAAAGGCCTTCCTTCGTGGCGTCAAACGAGAAGTAGTTTGCCAGCTGCTTCAACACTACTCTTTTAGTACCACAAACCACTATCAACCTAATTCAACAGCAGATGTCTGATGATGACGAGGATGATGATGATGCTACGTGCCAAGTGATTCACAACAGAAAGCTGAATGATGTCTTCGAAGGGAAGACAGGTTGACAAGGTACGGCACAAGGTTGCCGCCTACTATCACCGATGATTTTCCTGATTGTGGTCGACTGGACTGGATTGGACTGGATCATGCAAAAAACTGTGAGGAGTGAGAAGATGGGCATACGCTGTTCGACCGATGAAAAGAGCCTACACGATTTCCATTTCACACACGATGATTTATGCTTAATGTCTTATGTCGCACAAACTCGAAGATGTACAGGCGAAAACTAACAAGTTGACGGAAGAGGCAGAGAAGAAGCATAGAATACAGGACTTCCTTCAGGTGAAAGTAGAGAAGAGACAGCTGATAAGGATGCACAACCAACAATAACAAGCACCATTCACCATGGAGGGGAGAATTCGAGAGGTAGTTATCTCCTTTGCCTACCTACCTAGGCAGCATCGTTTCAACTACAGGCGGCACAGATATGGATGTCCGTTTGGGTACATCATTTGTCAGGCCCTCAAGTTGAATCCAAAGGGGAAACCACGAGTTTGACGTCCGAGGGTGACATGGAGGAGATTGTGTCAGGAAGAAATGAAAGCTGATAAGCAATCGTGGAGCTAAGTTCAAAAGACTGCAACGTATTATCAAACATATCAGTGGTAACTTGCTGAAAAGCCTTCTACGTAATAATGTAAAACTATTCTCGAACAAATTTTCTTGCATAAGAGATACAAATCTTCACCTGAAATATTCTTAACCAAGTCTTACATCTTTCTCTCTTTCAGTCCCTTATGCGTATGGTTATTGCTACATCTAAAATGTATCTCTATTAAGTGGACATTCCCACCAGTAGTGGAGTAAAAATTATTTTTTCTATTGCTAAGGGAATACTTAGATATTTTCCACTATCTTTATGCTTATATTATCTTTTATTTTCTAACTATTCTTTACTAATCAATTAAGTAGTATGTATGATAACATGAAAAGTTATTAGAAGAATAAACACTTGACATTTTTTTACCTTACTTTGAAAAGAAGACTGTATAAATATATCTGGGAAAACCTTTGATAAAGCTATGAACTCAAATATACATCAGTAAAGAAGTGATTTTATAGTAAGTACTGTGGTATACAGCTATTCACTGATATAGAATTAAGGTAAGCATACAATCCATTACATATTGTTATTATATTAGTTGTCCTTTGCGTTCTTAACGGAACATAGGACTTCAGTAGCACGTCTCCAGTGCACTCTGTTCTCTCCAATCTTTTGAACCTGGCTCTACGACAGCCTAATTAACTAGTTCACTAGTTACTAGCCCGTCCTAAGCCCGTGTAAAGAGGGAAGGTTAGGCATACGGCTAGTAACCCTACCCCGGAAAATCAATCAACTGCTACAGAAACTTCAAAGCACAGAAAAAATATAAAAAATAAAAATAAAATTATTCCTCGCTGGAATCCGAGAGACGAAATGACGCCAGTTGGTGAAAGCCTTCGGGAAGTCAATTGGCAGATGTGTCTTCTCTCGATGAAAGTAAAAGTAAACATAGGAACATAGAATGTCCACACTATATTTGAACCTAGCAATCCATTACATATACTATTCTAAAATGTTACTTTATTCGTTGACAATGTATACAAGATGATAAAGAAAGAAAGCAATTAGTCAATCACCTTAAAATACATACACAGAAAAGCCAACACACTTCCCCATAGCCTTGCAAGCCTTAGATACAAACGAAACCAGATGAAGTGCTTGGTTCATAATGTAAAAATCATTTCCTTGGATGAAATTATCAAATAGGAGTTTGACATCATATAAAACCTACATAGTAAAAATGGATATCCTGTTGAAATTGTCAGTAAGCATACAAAGGAAATGATACCTAAACCAAGGGTAATTATAGTCCCTAAACAAAACTGTTTCCCTGGAAGTTTTACTAAAAGAAAGTAACTTGCTGACTGAAGAACCTGAAAGACGTGGACTCGATCCCTGGTGAGAAGAACCATACAAGGATTCTTCCCCAGCTGATATCAGTCCATGATGAATACCAACCTGGAATTTAATCCACTAGATTACATTAGAATGTCCAGGAAGAGCTTTCCGTGGAAGATTCATCACTTCTAAGTTATGGCCATTTTTTACAGTTCACTAATTATTGGTGCAGGTTACAAAGATCTACTTCCTGATTCTGCCTGTTCTATAAGCATTTATCAAGTTGACTGGTCCTGTACAGCCAGGTATATTGGGCGAACAGTCAGGCAAATCCATAATAGAATATTTGAACAATAGAAGAACAAAGACATTTGGAGAATAAAATAAGCTCATTTCATTTCATACACTTTCATCAGCTGCAAACAACCTACTAGTGAAATGAAATATCACTGGTAATAATAACACAACATACTTCAAACACGCAAAAATAAATGCAGATTTGAAATCCAGGATTAACAATAACGGTAGTGAGTGAGTGAGTGAGTGAGTGAGTGAGTGAGTGAGTGAGTGAGTGAGTGAGTGAGTGAGTGAGTGAGTGAGTGAGTGAGTGAGTGAGTGAGTGAGTGAGTGAGTGAGTGAGTGAGTGAGTGAGTGAGTGAGTGAGTCAAGGGAATACACGATCAATAGTTACATATCTTAATCAAAATCTATGGCTATTTATACACATCTCATGAGTTGGGAAAATTCTGAAGCTGTGGAGTGGGAGGGGAAACAACAAACGAAAATCAGTGTGAAAAAAGACACTGTTTAAGGGTTAATAGATTACATAATTAATTACATGAAAAAACTTGAAAATCGCTAAGTGATTAATATTCAGTAAGTAACCAATGAAGAGATGAAGTAATCAAGAGAGAAGGAAAGACTATATACATGCATACACATGCAGAAAATTATATACATTTACCAAGGTAAAGAAAGACTAATTACAGTCTCCTTCTGAGTACATAGATCAGGTTGAAAGTGTTTGATAGCGATACCTGCCGTATACCGTAATAAACATGGTGTCCTTTGTTTCCTGATTATCCTGAAAGATTGAGAAACATCTGTTTGATGTCCTACTTCCATCGGATGCCTGACGATTGCTACCTTGCTACCATCCATCCAGACACAGATTTCTCGGAATATGCTCATAAAATCGAGTAGACGTCTTTCTTTCAGTCCGTTCTATCCATGTCCTTACACAAGCACAGGTGAATTGATTGATGTACACAGTTGGAGTTGACGTGAGATGGATCAGCTTGCCTACTTTCAACTGTGTTATTCAGCATAATCTATTGTAAACTGATATCAGTCTGGCAGGAGGGAAGCTTCTTCTCAATGTGGCTTTTATTCTTCTGTCCATTCTTTCACATGTCTCATCACCTTTGAATGCTAGACGAAGGAAAACAGGCTTCTTGTCAACAGTTGAATGTTTTCATCTGTCAATAAATTCTTTTCCATGCTTCATGGTGAGTTTCTTTGGATATCCATTGTCTATAAGAGCCTTCTCATCTATACTGAATCCTCCTTCTTGTTTATCTTTAGAGCACAGCCTTTTTATTCTAGTGAATAGCATCTTGACTAAACCACGTTTATAGGTGACAGGGGAGAAACTATTGTAGTGAAGTTACTGACCAATCCATGTGTCTTTTCTGTAGATTATTATTATTATTTATCCCTTGCGTTTCTAATGGAACATAGGGCTTCAGTAGCATGCCTCCATTCCACTCTGTTCTCTGCAAACGTTTGAATCTGGCTCCACGACTGCACAAAACTCTCATTTCTTCCTCGCACGATCTCCTCCATGTCACCCTCACCTCCGACGCCCAAATCACCGTCTCCCATCTGAGCTCCACTTAAGTAACTGGTCCGGCGCGTGATGTCCCCAATCGGTCTTCTCAGTGTGTGCCCAATCCATCTCCACTTCCGTCTGCATATTTGTTGAGCGACAGGTTCTTCCCTTCCAATTTGTTTTAATCATTTAAATATGTCCTCCGATGTTTTCAACTAATCGTTTATAAAAGAAACAACGTCATGTTAGGTGGGAATGATTTATTCACTGTGCAAGTCTGCATCATATTTCTATCGCTTAAGTACTAATCTAAAATTGCACATCATTCTACTGGCTGAATGAACCACCGCCAGAAGCAGTCACTGATTGACTCTTGAACCTGGTCAGTTGTCTACCAACACCATGCAGGCAGTAATGACTGAAATACCTAGGTGGCACCTCACTAACTAACGTGAGAGAGGAGTTGGTATTAGTTGGGTAAGAGTGAGAGATACAGCTGGTTTTAGAGGGACAAAACAGGCACTGGATGAAGTTCCAGCTAACGAGGTACAAGTAGATACCTAAGACATTAGGGCATTCTGCGTTAGTGTGATTGTATGGACTATTGCAAACCTCACTTCTTGCATTTGCGTCTAACTGCAAGCCAATCTGAGCTGACGTGGAAATCAAGGAAGGCATATAAAGTCAGAATAGTCTCTAGAGGAGAACTATTGTTCTGTTAAAGTGGCATAGATCCACTCCATAGCTACATGCCGGGAACTCAGAGTAAAGAAGCCCTACACTTCACGGTTTGGAGGTGTTGGGCTTTGTGTTGCTGGCTCATGAAGGATGAGCGCTGCTGTTCGAGCCTAGTTGAATTACGACAGTGAGCCTCCGTGTGGCTCCAGTGGATATCAACGAGGACACTGTGAAATTCCACTTTGTGGTAATCACGGTCTACGAGATCCATGTGCAGAGAGTAGCAGTGCGGGTCTCTGAAGCATGCATGGTCTAGCTTCTCGTCAGGATTCATCCCACTGCACTGTTACTCTGGCAGTTACCACGGTAGAAGCAGACCTAAGAGATTATGTGCAGTGTACTTTTTGAAGGCGGGTGATATTTGGTCCGGAATTTGAGTAGTTATCCTTAGTCTTGGTTGTATGTCAGCGGTCCGGAAACAGTGACTGTTTGGAATCTGTTGGCATTATGGGTCTATGTATCAAACCTCATAGAGGAAAATCTATTTGGGAAGATGGGTAGCATTCACTTTGCAAGTCAGTGAAATGTACCCCACGCATGTCTTCTCACGGAAAGGTGAGCATGGTCAACGCACCGATTACTAGATGGATGTGAACACGCTGAAGGTGACAGTTAAAAGGGTTCCGGAACAACACTGATCAGTCTGAGGAGACGTTAACAGAGTGCTCTGATATAAACCTTTGTTTACATGTAGATGCGTTGCTTTAATGCCTTCTGCTTCATGAAGGGACTGATCTACCAGGTTGTGTTGGAACGTCCATGGGTCTGAAGACCGGCATGGAACTTGGAACTGAGCGGAAATCGGGAGTGAAATTTCAAAGAAGTTACCAGTTCAAATTCCTAATTCAGAGTTGTAAGTAGATTCAGTCTGTAACAAGTGACGCAGTTAGGGGATCCTGACTGAAATTATTATTAGGACCACTGCATCATCCTAATTTACCTTAAGAAATAAAATAACATAATTTCGTTGAAAAAACTTCCAGATTTGGATGTCCCAATCACTTCTGAAGATGAGACAAATTAACAATATCTACCGGGAGTTAAAATGAAAACGAACACCTAAACCGATAAACAACAGCTACACAATCAAGTGAAACTCAGCGACAATATATACTTTCATACACTAGACAATTAGCCATATGCAGAGGGATTCAAACCCCTTTCGTGGTATTTTCATTCTAGAAAAAAACATAACCATGTTGTTCAGTAAAACACAGTTAAAAATATATTACCACATAAAGAAAAAGTACTTTAGTGATAGGTGATTTGGAGATACGACATTTGTTTATGGGACCAAGAATATTCCTTGTGAGCTATTTAGCACTAAATGTTCACGTCTATCTACTAAAGCCTAGAAAACCAAGTATTGTATTTATGCTAACACCATAAGTACGTCAATTTAAATATCTGAGATAGCCGTGGTCTGATAGATGGTTACTGGTACCTGGTTATGATTGAAGGGGAAATAAAAACTTCGACAACGTCAGCATTCAAACCAGTGACGGTAT